CAGGGCAGCGGTTCTCAAACTGTGGGTCGCGGCCCCTTAGGGGGTCGAACGACCCTTTCACAGGGGTCGCCTGAGACCATCGGAAAACACATATATAATTACATATTATATTTGTGATGAATCACTGTGCTTTAATTATGTTCCATTTGTAACCATGAAATTGGGGGTCACACAACATGAGGAGCTGCATTAAAGGGTCGCGGCATGAGGAAGGTTGAGAACCACTGCTTCAGGGGATGTCCGACTGCCGGTTTAGGTCCGATCCAGGCCGACTCCTGACCATTCAGGCTCTGGGTCCATGACACTGTGCACGTGGCCAAACCCCGATGCTAAATCCCTCTTCCCTTTTCTAAGAAAGTATTTTTTAAGACATATTTTCATTGATCTCAGAGAGGAAGGGAGAGGGTGGGAGAGAGAGAAACATCCAGGATGAGAGAGAATCAGGGACCGGCTGCCTCCTGCACGCCCCCTACTAGGGATCGAGCCTGCAACCCAGGCATGTGCCCTTGACCGGGGAATCGAACCCGGGACCCTTCGGTCCGCAGGCCGACGCTCTAGCCCAGTGATGGAGAACCTATGACAAAACACGCAAACCCATTTTTTGGGTGGATTTTTCTGTGTTCAATGGCATTTAAATATATAAAATAAATATAAAAAATGTCTTTGTTTTACTATGGTTGCAAAGATCAAAAAATTACTATAGGTGACAGAGTACCGGAGTTAAGTGAGGGTTTTTCAAAATGCTGACACGTCGAGCTCAAAAGGTTTGCCGTCGCTGCTCTAACCACTGCGCCACACTGGCCAGGGCAGACCTACTGTGAGTCCTCCTCTTCGGTCGCTGGTTTGAGGCAGGATTTTCCCAGAAATGGCCCAAATGCCTGTCCAAGGAGCAGGTTTTATCTCGGGAGCAGCTGCCGATCAGAATCTGGGTCTTGCTTGTCACACTGGGTCCTATTTTTTCCCTCTTCCTGTCTGCTTCCTCGTTCCACCCCCGCGTCAGCTGTCTCTCCAGCCCCTGACCACATATGCTCCTTCCAGCTTCTTGAAACGCCAGAGCGGCACGGACGCTTAGTTCGCTACGTTTCTCAGAGATCTGCCTGCCATGCAAGGGCTGCCTTCCTTCAGGAGATGGCTCGGCCCCAAATGTTCCCGTTCCTCTAAAATAAGACACAGGCCCGGCCGGCGTGGCTCAGGGGCTGAGCGTCGACCTAGGAACCAGGAGGTCACAGTTCAATTCCCCATCAGGGCACATGCCTGGGTTGTGGGCTTGATCCCCAGTTGGGGGCATGCAGGGAGCAGCC